CCCTGTTCTTTTTTCTTTCTTTCTTTCTTTTTTTTTCTAGAGGCTTCATTGTTTTGTCATGCATAATTGAATAAATTATTTGCCACTGGTGATTACTTAAACCCTTAGCCCCTCTCCTTTCCTTGGAGAATCAGAGAATGAGTCTTACTTTCCCAACCTGCTAACCCTGCCTTGTTGCTTTGAGTCAGGGTCTCTCCCTAAGCCTAGAGCTCAGCAACCCCAAGAATCTTCTGTCTCTGGTCATCTCTCCCCTTCTGGATCATAGTGCTCATGAGTTCATGCTTGTTAGATAGGTGCATGGAGATTGAAACTCAGGTTTCCTGGTTACAGAGCAGTAGATCTTAACCTCTGAGCCATCTCTCTAGCCTCTTAAGCAGTGACATTAAAAACAGTAAAGTTTTAACTAGAAAACTGAATTTTAACCAAAGTTTAAAAAGTTTCTTTACAAAACTCTTTGTGTCTGATCATAATAGTCTGTTAACCTTTCATTGAGGATCTTAGCTTCACTTGGTAAAACCCAGACTTGGGGCATAATGTTACACATAGGCACAAAATAATCTTCTGAAAACCATAGCTTCCCATCAACAACCAGGCAGTGAAAATAAAGTATGATATGATAACTCTCAAATAGTTACAGTAGCCGGAGGAACCTATGTCACACCAAATAGAAGCAGATGCCAAAGCTGGTCAGGATTTACAGTTTAGCTCAGGATGTAAGTGTAAAGGAGGGGCTAGGTGAGAGATCAGGCCCCTGTCTCGGGCCGCAGTTCCCAACTCGGGGCATCGATGCTTTGTTCTGTGCACAAAGACCTTAAGGTGACCCGATGGATACCCACTGCATGATAAAATGAAGAGCAATGTTTTTCGTGCAACACTTCACTTTGATGAGCAAGTTCAGCTTTATTTTACATCCTTTTGCATGCCTTCCTTTCATTCAGCTTTATCCTATTTCTATAGTCTCCATAGTAGGAGAATCTGACTGTCGTCCTTTTCAATGCATTCTTGAAATCCATGCCAATGTTTTGGAGGCTCTTTCTGTCCCAAGCACTACAGCATTCCCCTAAGAGAATGATATATTGTTCTCCTGGATTTAGACAATGCCACTAAGCTGAGGAAGGCTATGAAAGCCTCAGGTATCTGTAGCACAATTCACTTTTCAAAGGGGGTGAACTCTTGAAAACAATATTCCTGGGAAAACTACATTCACTTCCTTCCTCCTGAGATTCCCCACAAATAATAGGAAATGATCGACTGGGAATTCTGAGTTCTCTTGAGAAAAGAATTTTAAGAAGTTTCAAACTACATGAATCCAAGAAGTTGCACAGAAAGGTTCTTGGAAATCCTCATGCTGTCTATAAATAATTGCCAAATGTACACACACACATTAGCTGTTGAGTCTTGAGCCAGTACAGGCTTTTTAAGTTTCTCTAAAATTAGCCCCACAAAAACAAGCCACCTGAAAAGTAAGGCCAGGGGGGAGAAGCGGGGGAGGGAGGGTGCTTCTTATTTGTTTCTGTCTGTTTTGCTGTCCTTGGGAATGGACTCAAAGGCACCAATGTGCTAGCCTAGTGCCATGCCACAGAACTACAGCCTGAGTGGAAACCCCTAAACGCTGCCAGTGTGAGCCCAGATGTTCCTTCTCAGTGCAGATTTATTTTTATGAAGTTCTCTGGAGCTCTCTGCACCCGGGGCCACTTGTCACAATGAGGAGTGTATCTGAAAGGCTAATGAGGTTTTTCAAGCTCGAAACTGGCATGTTCATTTATGTAGGGAGGAATGAAAATGTAGGAAAGAATAACAGAAAGACTCTCTCCTCCTTGTATGTGTCTTAGCAGTGGTTCTAACTGGGGTGTTATTTGAGTTAACCAGCTCCTCCCTTGGGGTGTAAATACCTCTAGGTATTTGGTCTCTGTAGTTATGTCCTAGTGAGAACTGTTCTAATACAACATTGGCCTTGGAATCACCTCAATTCTTGCTAAGCTTTTGGAGAAAACAGAAAAGCACGAGCGAACTGCCTTTCAACATTTGCTTCTGCTTCGTGTCCACTAACCGCCATGTGAAAGATTATTTGTCCTCTAGTGTCTGAAACCCCATTCTGTGCTTACACCGACATACGACATTCCGTTACTGCTGAGGCATCTGGCCTCACTTTGGATTTTAACAGGGCTCTCATGTCCACACCCTACCTTCTTTCTTGGAGCCCACGTCTCTGCCCAGATATTTTGCCCGTTGTTCTCACATCTCCGAACCAAGCAAGAAGCTCACTTGTATATATTCATTGGTGAATTTTTGGAAGCTGATTTAAAAAAAAAAAAAAGAATATGAATGAATGTAATTAGTATCACTGTTGAGATAAAAGTCACAACAGTTACATAGAAAAGTCAGAAGAGGCCATCTGGTACCATTTTAAAATATGCTTCAAGTCTAATTCTAAGACACTGAATACGTTTAAAGGAGCCGCTTGGATTCCAGCTCAGGATCTTTGGGAGCAAAGGAGACTTTGGCGAGACACAGTGTACAACAGAATTGATGTTAAATGTTAAATGGGATCAGACCCATAGCTTCTTTGAGGGTAGATTTTGAGGTAGCTTGACCAGGCGCGTGAAAGTGAGGCAGTGTGCTCACCATGAGATTGCTGTGCAAAGGAAGTGGCCAGGGATTAAACATAGCGTTAAACATTATAGATAAGTGATCCTTATTTGTTTCATTAACATTTATAGTTTCTCAAGGAACCACATTTAAAAATGTTATTTTTTGTAAATAAACTATTATAAAAAGGTTACAAGAATAACTTTAAGGAACTTGTCTAAGAATAGATTTCAAATTTTTATTAGTAGAACTACCATTCAACAAGGAAAACAAGTATCTATTTTAAGCTGAGAGGTAACACTTGATAAAATATGAGTATTTAACAAAGCAGAAAATGCATTATTCTATGATATTTTAAAACTAGTAAATGTTTTAAAATCAAAGCTAACCTTATTTAAGATGATTAGATAAACTCAAATTTAAGACAGTTTTTTAAAATTAGAATAGCCACATAATTTTAGTGTAAGATGAACTCAGCAGAAAGATTTCATCATTGTACTGCTTAAAAGAGTCACATGACCCTTTTCATTCTCTATTCTCTACCATTCTTGGCCCACTATGTTTTAAAAAACCAGTTCCAGCTGGGCACAGTGGCTGGCACACACCTGTAATCCCAGTTCTCAGGGAGATAGAGGCAGGCAGAGCTCTGTGAGTTCCAGACCAGCCTGGTCTACAAAACAAGTTGAAGGCTACACAGAGAAGAGAGCTACAGCCACACGGAGAAACCCCCTCTCGAAAAAAACAAAACAAAACAAAACACTGAAACCAATCACAATGCCATTGATGCAAAGAAAGAATGAGTTTTGTATTTGTCTCAAAACAAAGTACAAGAAGACTGGCGAATCCTGTAGCTCTTGAGTCAGGCATTGCTTTCTGAGTGCTCAGATGATTCTATGTTGCTGGGAATAGGCAGAAAAGAATGGGGGAATTCACATTGATGGAATCAAGGCTTTTCAAGAAATATTGCACTATTTGCTTGGTAGGGCCACAGCCTTTCCTTCGTAATGGCTGTGCTGTCTTTTTTTTTTTTTTTTTTTTTTTACTTTTTTTCTTTTTAAACACAAGCTAGGGCCTTCTGGGCAGAGGAACCCTTATTTGAGACATTGGCTGTAAACAAGTTGAGTGTTCACTGTGGGTGGTGCCACTCTTGGACAGGTGGCCTGGGTTATACAGGAAAGCAGGTTAGCTAGCCAGTAAGCACCATTCCACCACAGTTTTTGCTTCCGTTCCTGGCTTCCAGTTCCTGCCCTGAGTTTCTGCGCTGATTTCCCTCAGTGAAGGACTGTGATCCTTAAGATGAAATCAACTCTTTCCTCTCCAGGTTGCTTTGGATCATGGTGCTTATCACAGCAATAGAAAGCAAGAGAGGACAGTGATCTAGCAAGGGTCCAGTGAAACAGGGATGGATGCATGCAGAGTCCTTTTATTTGGTGTTAGTAAAAAGAGACCTTGGCTCTTTTTTACTTACTCTTGCAGGCCGAGTAAAACAGATCCTTAAATGCCAAAGCAATATTTATCTGTCTATTCCTGTAGTCTCAGAGTCCCCAGCTTACAGCGAGTTAGCCAAGAGAGATGCTTGCCACGTAAAGGTTACATTTAACATTTACACACGCACAAGTACAAAAGCCTAGATTATGGTCATTCATTCAGAAAACCAAATAAAAATCTAAGTTTTCCAGTCATGGTTGGGAAATCAGTGTGAATGATCCCCCCCACCACCAATGGACTTGTGGAGGCCAAAGCCCCTCTGCATCATGTCACTGAACGGTCCCCCAGTCTTAGTAAGCAGATAAGAAATGTCATCAGCTTAACCCAGAAGCTTTCAAAAATAGCATAGTTAAAGTGGGAATGTAGGGGTGTGCTAGAGAGAAACCATTTGCCTGTGGTCTTAAGAATTGGCCGTTAGCCGATATTCCCACCTGAGATCTAAAATGCTGCATTGAGACCCATTGTGAGCAAGCAAGGAGAAGTCTCCCTTGTCAATAGACCACAATAACATCTTACTTTCTACTGATGAGGCAAACCCTTTTGAAAACTTCAGGGTTGGAGCAAGGCACGGTCAGTGTTCCTTTAAGATTCTGTCAAGTAAGAGAAAGTGTGTGTGTGTGTGTGTGTGTGTGTGTGTGTGTGTGTGTGTTTTCAATAGCGCTGGCAGTTTTCCTCAAAATTTCAATGAATATTTGCACAATGAACCAAGTTGTTGTGGGTTTCCTGGTTTGTGTTGGTTTTCCCCCCCCGGGGGTGGTGATTTGGGCAAGGCATTTTCATCCCTTCGCAGACAAGTCCAGCTGCTGGTAATGCTGAAAATAGCTCAAATGCTCTCAGGCCGGGAGCACCACCCAGCAGCTGAGATTCTTTGCCTCTCTCGCTGCTGTCTCTCCTGACCCTCGGTCCCCTTTTCCTCCCTGCAGACACTTGGATTGGACTTAATCTTAAACCTCTGGAGGTCAAGACCTTTTAAAAAGGGCTAACTAAACAATCTCTACATGTAAAAGGCCAGTGACCCCTACTTCCTCTGCTGGAACAACTGTGAAGTTCAGCCTCTTCCAGGTAAGGTTTTTATTCTGGAATTACTTGTTTTCTGGTGCGGTCATGACTGATGTCTCTAACTTTTTAGCGAACATAGGAGGAGGTCAAGGGTTTCCAGGTAAACACTTGGTGCCGGGATGCAGCGGCAGCATCGCACATTTTTGTGAAGGAGATTGTAAACTTTGCCTAAAGCCCTCTGTCCCAGTGGCTGCTGCACAGACCTGACTGAGCGCTGTCTCAGAGTTCTCATTAAGCGTGGCTGCCCAGGGCGGAGAGGACCTCTAGACACCATCATTTCGTTTGTTTAGACTGCTTTCTTATTTTAACTCTCTAAAGGCATGCTTCAAACAAGATGCAGCCCACCTGGGTAAATGCTCTTGACGGACACCAAGGTGGCTGTATGAAGAGTATGAACCCCTCATAACACTGTTTTATTTGCTACTGGTGTGGAATAAGAGGCTGTTTGGGGAGCATTATTACTATTATTATTATTATTATTATTATTATTATTATTATTGGGTGGTATATTCCTAGTGTACTTTGGGATGACTGATTTTGAGAATCCCTTTTCCAACCTGAATTTCAGCTAAGCCTACTCTCTTACGAGGTAAATTTTCTGATAGGATTTTCTCTACTGAAACAGTAAACATTTTTTTTTCTTTTGGATAGTTTTCTGGCTCCCCCCCCCCATGCTTGCACTTGACATTTTGCAAAGTACTTTGATCTGTGGACTTTAACCTCAAACATACCATTTATTTTGATTGTGAGTATTTATCATATTCAGGTTTTTTTTTAAGCTTTTTTTTTTCCCCTTAAGGCTTTGATACCAATTCCTTCAGATAATCTGCTGGCTTGGGTTCTCCCACTGCTATGCTCTAGAATTTATTCATAAAGGAACCTTTAATTTAAAAATAATGTTTTCTGGCAAAGCTCTGACTCTACACTGACTTTCTAACACAGTGGCTCTCAGCCTTCCCAGTGCTGAGACCCTTTAATACAGTTCCTCATGCTTTGGTGACCCCAACCATAGAATTATTTCCGTTGCCACTTCATAACTGTAAATTTTCTACCATTATGAATCGGAATGTAAACATCTGACATTTCTGAAGGTCTTAGGTGGCCTCTGTGAAAAGGTTGTTTGATCTTGAAAGGGATCATGGAACCTACAGGTTGACAGCCGCTGATCTGACAACTCAAGATGTGTAGAAGCAAGTAGCAAAGACAGTTCACAGAACCAATTTTGTCAATCCCTGCTTGAGTATCCTGAGTCTCCAAAGTACCATGTGCCTAGAGCCTAATTGTTGCTTTCTTAAACATGAGTACTGAAATCCCTGGCAATTCAAGATGCTTTTTACCAAAAGAGTTTTGGTTTAAAAAGAAAAAGCAAGCAAGCAAGCAAACAAACAAAAAAACATGTATTTAAATGGCATAGTGATCTTTTGAGTAACAAAACAAACACTACTAAAAAAAAAAAAAAGACAAAAAATAAACTAAAAAAAAAAATCTTCAATAGCCAAAAGTTTTAGTGAAACCTCTTTGATGTGTGGGATGAAGTATTTAACAAAACAAAAGGAGCTTCCTAGAATAGACAAACTGTTAACATGTTTACAAATCATGAATCAGCTTTAAATGATGTCTGTACATTCAAAACCTCACGCCTATCATTGTATTTGTTTCCTCCTCTTTTCTTTTCTGCTGCAAGCATTGACTATTTTAAAACCCGCTTGTTAGCTGCCACTCTGGGTATCCCCTGGTAATACTGCCCCTGTTCTGTTGAAGGCTAGGAGTCTAATCCAGTCAGGAGGGCTGTGGGCTCCGAGCCTGCCTCTTGAGAGCTGATGCAGTCTGCTCTGTGAACCGTGTAAAGGAAGGAAGCCAATGGCCACCAGAAAGAACTTGAAGGAGGCAGAGGGAGAGGGAACGTTCCAGGAATGTTGTTCTTCAAGCAGGAGCACATGGAGTTCTCCCTTCTAGAGTGTGGATTATCGTAGGAAGAGCAGGAAAGGGGTCTCCATCATTGCCTTGCTCCCTTGTCTCTTGGAATCTGCCTAATAAAGAACATATCAATCGTCTTATTTCAGGAAACAGTCAACCTTTGAGTCCCCCTGTTACTTTGCACAAGGGCTTCATGGCTTCCAAGGATCTCTGAGGATCAGGAATGGTCCCTGTTAGCACCAGGAAGGCTCAGTGAGCAGTGCCAGGTGCACCTGTGTTCCTAGAACCAGGAGTAGTGCTGTTCGCATAGACGCAAAGTCAAAGACTTAGGAAAGAGTAAGTCTTTGAGACAGTAGACTGCAATCCCATCCCGATGAGCCATTTGATGTGCGGTTTGTCCCTCCTTCCTCATGCCCTGTTTTGACTTGACTTTGAAACATTGGGCTGTTTGAATGTGAAACTCAAGGTGAAACCTAGCCGAGGCCACCGGGTTTCACATGAAAGAAGCATTCTGCCCAGCCTTGCTCGAAACTCAGCCCACGATCGCCAAGAGTTTCGCGAGTGTCAGTAATAAGCAGGGACTGGAAACCTCATCCAAAACCAGGTGACTTCTGGTGACTTTAGAGGCTTTGTTGTATAAGTTCAGAAGCTGTCAAACAAAGGCACTCTTCTTTCCACAACCTCTACTGTAATTTCATGTGTATACACATTCCTTCCTATTTATCCTATGGTGTTCTGGAGTCTAATACGAATTTCTGTCGGTGTGGTATTTAAGCATTGGCAAACAGAAGCCTGCGTTTTAAATTCTAGCACGGGTGGAAACTCAGTGGTGTGAACATGCTGGTGTAACTCAGCCGAAGGAAGGAAGTCCCAGGAGAGCTATGGAATGTCTTTCTTTGCTTAAATATACCCCTGTGCTTGTGAAGAACAAACAGTGACATTTTGTCCAGGTCCGTCCTCTCGACAGTGTGTCTTTTGTTCAGTTTCCAAAGGTGGTGTCAAATATAGTGGTGGAAAAATAATAAACTTCCCCGATCCCCCCTCCCCTGCCTGCTCCACTGATATACTCCCAGGGAACACTGTAAGCATTGAAATGTTTGCTGCTATTTCTTGTAATATAAATGAGGAATAAAGGGGTAGTTGATGAAGTCAGCTTCTCTCAGAGAGGCTTGGAGACCCAGAGATGCTGAGTATGTGAACAACACTGGGACCTGGCTGTTAAAATGTGTGTGTGTGCATGTACACACACACACTTATGGATATGTGCAAGGATCCTGGAAGGAGGAGAGAGGAATGGCTTTCTTCAGCAAATATGTGACCTCAGAAACAAAAGTGATCAAGGACAGGATCTGAAAACATTCCTTTGTTGATCATATAAATTTTGTTGGCTGGATGTCAAAATACTTTCGGGTATTATTCCTCTCATTAAAAGCATCAAGCGACAGGATTCCAGACATAGTACATAATCGCCAATGAAAATAGGACCAGTTTGGAAGGTCACATACTTGTAGATCCTTCATGGGTCAGTCTCAGAAAAGCCACTGTGACTCCCAGGCCACCATAGGACTGAAAGCCACCCAGAAAACTAAGATTCAACATGACATTTTCTTAATTGGACAGCACGTACCCAATCTGAAGACATTTCAGAGAAGTGAATTGCTGACCTCAGTAAAGATTTAGTTAGACTAAACTGAATGACATTTATGAATACAGACTCATAAGCAAATAAAATTCCATAAAATTTCTTTTCTGGAAATTTTACAATCAGTTTTATATTTAACAACTTGTACTTAAAAAAAAAAAAAAGACAAAGTTTGTACTTTGTAGATGACTTGTGGCTACCCAAAGTGGCTATGTGACTTCGTGCTACATGAAGCCTTGTGAGACGGCAACTACAAAATACAGGGCTAGTATGTGTAGGAGCTGGTTAACACCGGCTTCACTATTCTTGGCGAAAGATTTATTGGCATACAAAAATTGAGCAACCCCAAATTAGCAAAACAAGAAGAAAGTGCTCAAACCCAGGTCTTTGAGAGAACAACATAAAGTAATCCGGAATCGTCCTACCAAGGAAAGTGTCATTAAATGCACCCTGGCACAGAAGTTTAATCTTTCAAGCAGTTCCATTATCCATTCATAAGGAAAAGAACAAAGACACCAGACAAAAATAAACACCAAGCCTAGGTACATGCACATCCTTCTCTAGACCATTAAAAGGCTTTTTCACAAATGACTTCAGTAGTCATTTAAGAATGCAAATATCTCTGAATTAATATCATTTTGCACTTAATTTACTACCAGAAAGAAATGACCCATTTCAAACTGATATATTTTATGGATATATTACAATAACCTAAATTCATATAAAATGAATTTTTTCTTTAAAAAAAAAAAAAAAAACAATAATGTGATTTGGATCAGGTCCAGATCAGAGTGTCCTTCCCAATAGATCAAAGAGGACTGTTTGGGCAGCACAGATAATGCACTCATCTTCAGAAAAGTCATTAATTTCTACCTAATAGGATATTCGAAAAAAGAAATATTGAGATAGAGAGCAGTATAGGGAGCTAAGTCACTGATAGATCATTTGCCAAGTATGCATGTTGCCCTGAATGGAGTTTGAGCCTCAGGAACAACACAGACGAAGGAGGTGGGGGAGGAGGGATTAAAAACTAATCATTAAGATGCCCACTCCCTACAGCCATCCTGGAGCCTGCCCTTCTCTCTAAGACAGTCCTCCACACTGGCATGCACATTCCTTGTTGCGATGCACAGAGGACTCCCCTCAGTCCCCAGGTCCCACCATGTTTGTTTGTTTGTTTGTTTTCTGTTTCTCCCAAGACCGTCTCTTATGTTCACCCGTCTTGCTAAGAGAAATAGATATCTCTGGCAATTTCACCATTCTTGAACTGCTAATGGAGAGGAGAGTTTGAGATAGCTAACTCTGGGATGGAAGATCCACACATTACAAAATTAGTCCACATCCCCTGAGCTAGAAAGAGACGGGCATGTATTCCTCACAGGAGACTGCTGTTTTATAACTGTTGACTGAAACTGAATGCAAACAGACCAAGCAAGATTTTCAT